GTTAAGGGAGGTCCTAAAATGAATGAAGTAAAAGAAGTGTTACTTTTTCATATATGAACTATGGTAACCCTAAAATGGAGACACCTAAGGTATAAATATGTGTGCTTTTAAATGTTAACACAGAAAGGAGAGATTTGGAGACAGACGCTCCATCTTATAATGACAGAGAGGCTGACATCAGGCCCGGACTGGCCATCGGGCACACCGGGAAAATGCCCGGTGGGCCGCGATGGCAGTGGGGCCGAGGCCGGCAGGGGAGATCACAGAATACCCGAGCGCCGGCCCCGCTGTGTGCCTCCATGGGCCGGTGGGGAGATCAAAGATCTCTCTCACCGGCCCACAGGCACTGTTACAGGCGGCCGCAGGCTGGGGAGGGAGTGAGGAGAGAACCCGGTGGAGCTCTAACCAGCAGCTCCGCCGGGTCCTCTCGCGGCAACTCTCAGATCTCGCGAGAGTGAACTCTAGCCTGCAGGTTAGAGTTCACTCTCACCACTGGACCACCAGGGAAGGATGGCAGCATGGTCCCCCTCATGGCACCCCAGGCAGAACGGATCCCCCTCATTGCAGAACGGCTCACCCCCCCCCCCCACCCCGCCATCCCAGGCTAGAGGTAAGAAGGGATTATTAATAAAAATATATAAAATAAATAAATTCCACACTTACACACAGCACCCCCAGATACACACAGCCCCAGACACACACAGCCCCACCCCAGATACACACAGCCCCAGATACACACAGCCCCCCCAGACACACAGCCCCCCAGACATACCTTTAGACACACACACAGCAGCCCCCAGATACACACAGCCCCCACAGACACACACAGCCCCCCAGACACACAGCCCCAGATACACACACAGCCCCAGACACACACAGCCCCACAGACACACATAGCCCCCCTCAGACACACACACAGCCCCTCAGACAGACAAAGCACCCCTCAGACGAAAGACAAAGCACCCCCAAGACACACAGCACCCCCAGACACACACAGCCCCCTCCAGACACACACAGCACCCAAGACACACACAGCATCCCCAGACACACACAGCACCCCCAGACACAGCCCCCAGACACAGCACCCAGACACACACGCAGCACCCAGATACACACGCATCACTCAGACACACACAGCACCTCAAGACACACACAGCATCCCCAGACACACACAGCACCCCCAGACACAGCATCCAGATACACACGCAGCACCCAGATACACATGCAGCACCCTCAGAGACACACACACAGCACCCTCAGACACACACACAGCACCCTCAGACAAACACGCCGCACCCAGACACACACAGCACCCCAGACACACACACAGCCCCCAGACACACACAGCCCCTCAGATGCACACAGCCCCCTCAGATGCACACAGCACCCCCAGGCAGCACACAGCCCCTCAGGCCTTTTGAAGTCCCCAGACCTTTGGGCCCCAGGACACACACAGCTCCCCCAGACACACACAGCACCCCAAGACACCCCACACAGCACCCCAGACACACACAGCACCCCAGACACAGCCCCAGACACAGCACCCAGACACACACGCAGCACCCAGATACACACGCAGTACCCAGATACACACGCAGCACTCAGACACACACACAGCATCCTCAGACACACACACAGCACCCTCAGACAAACACGCCGCACCCAGACACACACAGCACCCTCAGACACACACATCAACCAGATACACACGCAGCACCCTCAGACAGACACTGCTCCCTCAGACAGACAACACCCTCACTCACACAGCACCCACACACAGCATACTTCCACACATATACAACACACACACACCCACATATATATAATAAATAAAATAACTCTCATTGAGTTAACAGACAAAAAAAAAAGAAACCTAGAATAAGACGGCAGATAAAAACACCCTCACACACAGCACCCTTCTTACATACACACACACACACACTGCGCCCCTCACACATACAATACGTCCAAATATATATATATACACACACACTACAGCACCCCTCACACGGCACCACTACACACATTACGCTCCAGATACACGCTAGATCCCTTACCCTATATGCACTCTTAATCCTCTACACACACACACAATCTCCTATACACACTCTGAGTCCTTTACACACTAGATCTCCTACACACTGCCCCTAGCCACACATATTACACCACAAACACAAATGAAATTGACCTATTTACACAATACCACACCACACTCTACACACACACAATCCCACAAGCATGCTCCAAACACATGCACCATGCACTTTCCTGGCCCTTTTGTCTTCTGGTATCCCACTTGTGGAGACACCAGAGACAATTTAAAAGCAAACACAGTGCAAGCATGTTATTAAATTTGCTTACGCTGGGCAGAACAAATTCAGGGCCTTTTTCTAATGCCAGAGCTCTTCCGCGGGGCTCTGCGCATTGAACCAACATGCTCACTTTGAGAGGGGGCGTGCTTGTCATTAGTGATGACAAAACACACTCTCTCTAGCCCCGCCCCCTTCTTAGGGGGCCGCTCTGATTGAAAAATGCCCGGGCCAAATTTTTTTCCCAGTCCGGTCCTGGCTGACATGATGACATGTTCAGGAGGGTATGTTATTCTATTAAGGATATTTGCAAGCATATAGTTTAATCTTATAAAATCTGCTATAAATCTTTGTAATTTTTGTTATGTCTATATGTATATTTTTTATTTAATAAAATATTTTAAAAGACAAAACTTTATTGCTTAGAAAGACAATCCTTATTTTATATTGTATTCTCAATTATTTATATATTTTAAATAGAGGATCTCTTACTAACTACATGTATTTAAAATTATGGCTAAGATATCTGTATGGTTAGTCCGGCTAATTTCTATGCTTTAATACGTTATAGTGGTAAATAGGAAAACCAGCTGTGGTTACAATCCAATCACAAGTTATCTGCAAGTTTTTTGCAGCAATCATTTGCTTATCTCTTGCCATATGATCCTCATTAATATATACTGAAGGAAAATAGTTATTTAAAATTTTTGCCTTTTCCTTGTCTTCATTAACTAACAGACCCATCTCTGTTTCCAGTGTACCTACACTTTCATTTTATGTTTTTTTAGGGGTTAGTTTTGCATTGTTTGGCTATCAATTTCTCATTTTCTAGTTTAGCCACTTTAATTGCCTTTTTGCAAGCGTTATTGGCTTCCTTATATATAATATAGGATGCCTCTGATTTGCCCGATTTAAATGCCCTTTTCTTATTTTTAATCTATTGTTTTACTTCTCTACTAAGCCACATTGGTTTTAATTTGTTTCTTTTATATTTATTACCCAATAGTACATACTGAGTAATGTACCTTTCTAATGTT